GGGGACATACAAGGGTAGAGGCCGCAACAGAGGCCGCAGTGAGGGTGCGAGAATGGGGATATGGAAGGTACACGTGCGAGTTGGTGTATGGCCTGTATCTGGACCAAAGATTCTTACCCCATGACCAAGGACTAAGGAATTTGGTCAATATGGTTGATGCTTATGTGAGCTTCCACGATCCAGATGAGAGGGTTGTAGATTGGGATGAGGTTCGAGCTATGGCAGACCGATAGAAGGATACCCTTGTACCATGCCAAGACTTGTGTATATGCATGGACATAAGAGTTAGAGTAGCAGACTGACCGACTGTGTGATTTTAATCCCGTACCTTGGTTAGCAGGGGAACCTGACAATGTACCAAGGGGGTTTCGTAATAATGGTCCGGTAAGACACCCCAAATTGCAGGCGGGAGGAACCCCAATAGAATGACTGTATATGTGGGTTACGTCAGGACTGTCTAAAATTACGTTACTGGAATGTTTTTAGTGGATGGATCAAGGAGTGGTTTTAAGGACATTGTTACGGAATAAAAGTCTATCCTACTAGACCTAGTGATTGAGAGAAGAAGATATGGGACCTACTTCGTGTCTGGGTCAAAGTGGTTGTACATGTGTGAGAGGTATGAGAGACTTAGGAAGAGATCTCGGCGTGTGTGAGGTAGACTCTCTAACCTATAACTGTAATACGTGAGACTTGTCTGTAAATGATTCCTTGTGTTGCTTGGTTACATGGATATGTCTTGAATTGCTTGGATCCCTTCGATTTGAGGAGTCTGATTACGTCCTACCAAGACTGTTTCAACTTTAGTTCTGGTCAGGGAGACCGCGATTTTTGTGTGTGATACTGGTGTCAATTTGAGTTGAGATTGTTCAACTCTTTGTGTTCAAAGATTATGATTGTTTGGGTTTTGAGTTGGGATATTGTACCCCTGTGTATATATCGAGTTGAGATTTTTCTGAGACTACTATTTGTATATGACGATCAAAATCACTCTCACATGTGTGGTTTTATCCTAATGTATGGTGACTTTGTGTGAGAGATGTATGGGAAACACCTCATGTGTTTTGTATTCTGTGAATGTGAATGAATGTGAACTGCCTGCTCTTCAGTATACTCGTGCGATCATCCTGCGAGCGGATGATGGGGCTGAGTTTAAGGAGAGGGAGTGCAGTCTGTTTTGTGAAAAGTGTGAGAATCCTAAGAGATTTATGAGTCTTTGAGCCCCGAATGCTTGCCATGCCGAATATTTATTGTTGAGTTGTGATGAGGACCCATAAGTTGGTCTCTCGGTCTGAGTTTGTTTATGGTTGAGACGCCTCTTGTGAGAAGGCAGTCTTTTGTTTATTTGGAAGGCTCATCTTCAGAGAGGGACGATGTTTTAAAAAGAAAGGTCGCATGAGAGTTCATCCTAAAAAGGGAAGGGATGCCTGGGAGACCTATTGAGTGAGACCTCCTTCATATGAAAGGTGGTTAATAGCTTTAATGACATGGTAAGTTGATTTTGAATGATAAAGACTGACGAAAAGGACCAAGTTTGTTATTTGGCCATTGGTGAAATTTTGGAGGTCGCAAAAATGATTTCGTTGGGAGATGTCACTGAGAGGTGGCTTTCTTGCTTTGATAAAGTAGGGAAGTCACGACCTTGTGAATCTGGTGGTGATCTTGTTTTGTGAAAGTGGAGAGGTTGCAGTGATTCTCTATGTTGTCCCACAGAGGACTGGTAAATACCTTTTATGTGTGACAGACCTTTGCGTAGTCCCGCAGTAGGCCTGTATTGTTGCGACACACCGTCCAACCACTTGTGCTAATCTTAGGACATTTATGAGAATACCAAGTTAACGGTAGCATCACTCTGGCGCAACCCCTAGTGTCGGCTGCTGATCGACGCAACCTGACAGGTGGCCCACGCCTCACTAGAAGGGGTAAAGACTTAAAGGGCAGGGGTGTGGCCACCCAAAAGGGTTTTACCTGCCGCGGGATGGCGTGAGATAAGAGTCGAGTCTTTTTGGAGTCCTGATTCAATGCTTATCAGGAGAAAAAGCCTATCGTGGCGCAACCTGCAAGGGCACTACCGCTAAAGTAACAAACGCGGTGGACCATAGATCTGGCACGATCACCCAGACTACGGTGGACCAAGACAGAGACCTAGCCTTCTTGTACTAGACTGCAGGAGGTGTGTTGAGATAAGATTTATATATATATGTTTGATTATGAGGATTATTGGAGGGAAGCGAGAACGCCTTCTAAAGGTCTCGTTTAGGGCCCGCGTCCTTGGTTATGGCCCTGCTCGCAGGGTAGAGACTAAGGACACTTAACGAGAAGCGCGTTTGTCTAGGACGAAGAGGGGACTACAGTTGAGAGGGGCCGCTAAAACTTATGCTGTAGTACGTATGTCCAGTACACCTGCGTCCTAGTGTCAAGACAATGGAGACCCAGGTTGGAACCCTGGCGGCATATAGTTATAAGGGTTTGGATTGTTGGAGGCCTCAACCCTTAGGCCGTCAGCTGATCGGATTGGTTCCTTTCTCGTCAGCATTTCGAGTTTTGGATGGATTTATAGCTTTTCGATTTTGCGAAGCGACGGGGACGTCGCTTAATATGGTCATGTAAGTTGTCGGTGCGAATACCCTTACAAGGGTATCCGCCCTGGTTTTTGCGAGTGACATAAATAAGTTTGGTTTAAAGATTAAGTATTTCGCACGAGGCGCGACTATGTCTGAGGTTTACATTGGCTAGATGTGTGACTAGAATAGAGAGTATGTAGATGCGCAGACTTGAGGCGCGCGTGATCATTTTATTTTTGATTGATTATTGTGAAGACCGGTGTTGACCGCCGGCCTGATTTTTATTTCTGACTAAGTTAGGTTAAAAAAGATCATGTCTTTTGACTGGTATGCTTGTCTGTGACTTATGCGTACGTATGGAGGACGGCATCGACAACAATGTGATTGAGGAAACGTTTTCGTAGAATCCGTGCGTCGAGCAGCGCACACGTATATAGATGTTTGTCAACACCGGGCTCGGACTTGGGCCTAGCACTATTGGTCACAGGATCGGATTTTCGTCCGAGAGATTCAGGAATCGAGACCGAGCGGCGACGACGCGGGGGTGTCAGAGTAGCGCGAAGAGACAGAGGGGTTGAGGGCCCGACGGGGCTATCCCCCTTGGTTTTGTCGTCAGCAGCGTCAAAACGGTGTTGGTGTTTTTCCTTTCCTTCGTCTATCGTTTTCACGCGGTTAGAAGTTGCTGAGTATTTTATTATCTATTGTAGTACCATTTTTATGATCCAGCGTTTTTTGACTTGGACGATGTAGGGGCCGTACCCTGAAGGACTTTCGAGCCTTGGTCGACCCCACTTTGGGTCCCACTTGGCTCAACCCGCCCACGCTCACGCTCAGGGCGGGGGTCGTTTGTCCCAAGGGCACCCCCACCTAGTGCTTTGAGATGGATGGGGGTGGGCCTTTTGCGAGAGGGCTTTACATTGGGGGATGTAACTCCGCTCTCGTGTCAAGATGGTAGCTCTGTGGGCACTCGTGGCGTTTTCTCAATTCAGTTAAGTCTGTCCAGGCAATTGCTCCTTCCAATACACAAGCAGTCCAGGGAGTTCATTGAGAGTTTGCCTTCTTACCGTGCGCAGGCCAAGCGTCATCCATTGGGCCACGCACCTTTTACTAAGTCTAGTGGCTCAGGGCAGCCCCTCGGCATCCTTGGGGTGCGGCGGCGTCGCCTGGACCCCTAGCCGCTACTTTTTTTTTACGAGAGCCACTAGCATCGCATCACCTATCCAAGACCGCCTTCAGTCTTTCCAGGCGTCACATTGCACAAGAGAGAGACATTTCATGCAAACTCCACACAAACCAAGTCCATGCATCAACCATCCACCCAAGCGTCCGGCCTCACTCATCCCGCATCCATGGCTTAAGCCGGATCCAGGTCCTTCCCTTAGCCAATCTCCCACCCTAGTCCTCATCCGCGGGCCCAACCCCGTCCAAGTCGTCCCTAACTACTCACCTGCGCAAGACCACACAAGACAAGTGACCAAGCACAATCCCCATCGAGGTCAACACATCGCCCCTTCCCGCAATCCTAAGTTGTTTTTGCCTTCCAATTCCCCTTATGAGTTCCCTTCCCTTTTGACAATGTAACAGGTGAGGGTAGAGGTTAGTCATATGCCATGGAGGGGAAGGGGAGAGGGAAGAGGTGAGGGTTAAAGAGTTTGAAGGAATGGAAGGAGAGAGAGAGAGAGAGAGAGAGAGAGAGAGAGAGAGAGAGAGAGAGAGAGAGAGAGAGAGAGAGAGAGAG